GAATTCCAGTAGGGCATCTCTTTTTACTCTGTCCCCTGGCCATTTCTGCGACAAGGTGGAGTATTTTTGAATTCTAGTATATAAACCTCTAGCACCCACCTGTCAGATTCTTCCAATGTCTTTTGGAATAGGAGCAGGCGTGATCTTACTCCTCCAGGCTGGAAGACCAAACCATTATAAAGCTCTTGTATTCTTGTTGAATGAAGAGCCTCTGGGCTTTCCTTCCCTGATAGAAGACTGTGCCCCTCTCCAAGGTTGGGATCTTCTGTACTCTCTTCCTGGTCTGTAAGGTTTATAATAACACAAGGAAGAGTGGCCTGAGGGTCTTCTGGGACGAATGATCTATTTGGACTGTGATCTTGAGGCAGAAATGTATTCTTGCTGTCTGCAGCTTTCTTTATACATTCGTCCATGTTCTTACCAAAGAGCATGTCTCCATAAAATGGTAAGGAGCAAAGGCTATTCTTTGAGGCATCAGCTGACCAGGATCTAAGCCACAGAGCTCTCCTAGCTGAAATAGAAAGTGCCATGTTTCTGGCAACCGCTTTCGCATTGACCATATCCACTGAGGCTTCTGATGCAAAGTCTACGGCTAACTTAATATCCTGCAGACTGCTGATGAGAGTTGATCTGCTCCTGCCATCTTTTATCTCCTCTTCCAATCCTTCTAGGCAGATTTTTAGAGCTCTGCAGACCGAGGTAAGTGTTACAGTGGGGTGGAGGCCTGTACCTGCTGCTACATAAGCCCTGGACAGGTTAGAGTCCATCTTTTTTTTTCATGTTTAAATATTTATTAGCTTTTTAAGTATACAAAAAGACACGAACAATTACATATCATCAAAGATACAATATTTGACATCCCATATCCCCCTATGGATATCAATACTCTTGTTATTTCAGTCAAACATTGGTCTATCTGCTTAGAAAATCAATAGTTCCAAGACATTAACAAAACTCAAGACAAAAAAAACACACAACCAAACCGATGGTCTCTAGTCATTGGTAAATACAATAAAAGCTCAAATTACAGATCTTCATAATACATGCTATACACATAGATCATATTTTGTATTTGAACTCTTAGCACGAGATCTTATAAAGATCTTATAGAGGAGATAGGCTGGGGGAGGAGTGGTTTATCCCAAGGTTTTGAGAAATACAGATATACCGGTAGATTCATTCAGGGAATTCTCTCAATTTTTATATTTAAAATAATATGTATAGAGTTTAAAGGGATATACTCTATACTTCTTGGATAAAGTTGTTCCATATATTCCATCCATATTTAACTGTAGACAAGGGCTCCCTCTTCATCTTTAAATGGCATGAAATTTGAGTTTTTAATATTCCCCACGTTAGAGGTTCACTCTGCTTCCAAAGTTTTACAATACATTTTTTTGCTGCGATCAAAATGTGTTGTTATATATCTATCCTTCAAAGACAATTTGGGCCATTCAAGCTGTAATAAAGAGGTTTTGGGGGAAAAAATCACAGATATTCCCGTGAGGTTCTCTAAGATGTTATATGTTAATTTCCAAAAAGCTTTTAATTTCTGACAATTCCATCAGATATGAGTATAAAAACCTTCTAAATGGTTACAACGCCAACAAAGAGAAGAATATGTAGGGAACAACATCTTATTAATTTTCTTTGGTACCAAATGCCATCAGGTTAATATCTTATATTGTAACTCTATGAGATTGAGGCAATGTATACATTTCTTAGCATCTGGTATGATCTTGAGGTATGATACCAATCCAAAATTCTGATCTCTATTGCAAGATCGCTCTTCCGTTTATTTATTATATTTACAGTTGCAAGAAAAAGTATGTGAACCCTTTGGAATGATATAGATTTCTGCACAAATTGGTCATAAAATGTGTTCTGATCATCATCTAAGTAACAACAATAGACGATCACAGTCTGCTTAAACTAAGACACTCAAAGAATGAAATGTTGCCATGTTTTTATTGAACACACCATGTAAACATTCACAGTGCAGGTGGAAAAAGTATGTGAACCCTTGGATTTAATAACTGGTTGAACCTCCTTTGGCAGCAATAACTTCAACCAAACATTTCCTGTAGTTGCAGATCAGACGTGCACACCAGTCAGGAGTAATTCTTGACCATTAAAGAGATATTCATTATAAACAGTTGTGTCATTATATCGACTATTAAAGAGATATTCATTATAAACAGTTGTGTCATTATATCGATTTGTGACATCAACCTAAGTATAATATAGAAAACAGCTCTCTATGCTGTTATTCTATGCCACATAGCCGCTTCTGCTAAGTAGATTATTTGGTGTATACTATACTTAATCTGCCTCTAGCAGATTTAAAGTCGTATACACCATACATATTGTTACATCACTCTTCCACAACATCTGAACTTCTTCTTCGTACCCTATTTGGCATAACTATATATATATAACAGCCATTTGTGGGTGAAATAGCTCCTAGATATATTACACCAAATCAAGGTGTTACTCCTTTCGAATTACAAGAAGAACTAATACCTGAACCTATTATCCTAGCTGAGGGATTAGCATAGAGCACAACTATTGACTGAAGAATCCAGCCTTTAAAGCCTCTATTGATTAATGTTTGGAACATAAAGATCCAACATACTTGATCGAATGCTTTATTCGCATCAAGTGAAAGTAGGATAGTCTGTTCAGTCCTTCTATTAGATAAATCAATCAAATCTGCTACCCTATGTATATTATCAGAGGGAAATCTCCCCATTACAAAACCTGTTTTCTCCGGGTGGATTAGGGATGGCTGTATAGGTTTCAATTTATTGGCTATAATTGCTGAATATATTTTTATATCTGAGTTGATTAGTGAAATAGGGTGATAATTTTCAATCTGAGAAGGGTTTTTGTTATTTTTTAATATAGGTATAATATTTGCCTGAAATAATTCAGCTGATATTTCCCTCCTATCTAAAAAGAAATTAAATACGTTTGCAAGATATTTACATAGATCAGCTTTCATAGTTTTATAAAATATTCCAGAGAATCCATCTGGGCCAGGGGCTTTATTTTTTTAAATATTATCTATCCCTAGTCCCACTTCTTCTTCCGTTATTGATTGGTTTAAGTCTCTGATTTGATCATCTGTAAGTGTAGATAAGCCACATTTCTCTAAATATTCTTGGATCTCTGAATTTGTTTTAAGAGTTTTTAAATTGTACATATTCTGATAAAAAGATCTAAATACCTCACCAATTTCCAATGGGGAATAAACAGTTTTCCCTTTATTTGATATTTTATAGGTTCTTTGAGTGGCAGTGTGCTTTTTTAATTTAACCGTCAAGATTTTATCTGCTTTATTTCCTTTAAGATAAGTCTGATTAAGCTTTGTTAGTCCAGACTTAACATTATCTCATAGTCTTTGATTTATTTCTTCTCTAACATTGCCAATACGAAAAGCTGATTCTTCAGAAGGATTTTCTTTATTTATCTCTATGACGAAAGTAACCTTGTCACTGGCTTTTGGAGGGGCCTGCTGGCCAGCCTCTTGCCTCAGGACTCCTGCAATATACCTTGCCCAATGCACTTTAAAAGGCTCTGTTCAGTATGTACTTTTGTACTCCAGACAGAGAAACCGACCGTTAGCCCTAATTCTCTGGAACTGCTTTGGGGATGGGACCATGTGCACGGTGGGTAAAAAATAAGACTTCCAGGAAATATCTGAACACCTGAACTGATCTGTGTGATTTTTGGATATGTTGGTCACCCAGATCAGGGCTATCAGGGGATGTAACATTTGTGGGGTTCTAGGTATTTTAGTGTATGTGACGGGACGCTGGCACTCCGAGTACCTCCGCCAATCGATGCTCCTAATATTTGCCGAGGACTCCAAGCACTCCAACCGACACCATCAGCACTGCAGACCCCACTTCCAGCGATGTAGCTGTGCCGGGGTCTCGCTGTCCTTCACCCACCCTGGACCCAAGGCCAGGATCCAGCTTCCAGTGGGCAGACCTCTCTTAAATCCAGAGAGCAGGAACCAGGAACAAGAACAGCTCTTACAAGAGCTTACTCTGGGGAGTATAGTGTGAATATAGCAATCCCCAGAGTGTAGTTATCCAATCCCCCAAACATGAGCCAAGGCTTCAAGAAAGGATCAAGTAGTTCTGTTTAATGGCAGCAAATGGCTTTCTTTTATACAAGTTTTACACATATAGTACAGCCCACAGGGTTTTGTAGAACAGCCAATCACAAAAAAAAGAAGAAAGTAATCCCACCCATTGGGTTGGGACTATGAAGTGTGTCCAAAAAATATCCTTGCAGGGGATAACCCTAAATATAAGCTTACAAAAGAAATAGTGCTCCTAGGGCAAAAGAAGTCCTGGAAACATGTATAGGATATTTTCGAGTTACTAGTTACTGATAAAAAAACATACTTTATTACAAGAACAGACCAAAATAAACATAAATAAAAAAAATCCACTAACCCAAAAATAAATATATAAAAAAAGGAGATAAAGAAGCTCAATAAGCTAGAAAGGGAAATATACTAAAGTGGAGTATTCCTGTATAACATATAGGCCGCCTACAAACTGAATATATCAAGCTATAGAAACTGGGATTAATTACTACAAAAATCCCTAATGTAAAGGTATAGAAAGTACAGAAAATACTCAAGCTGGTGGCTCAAAAATATAGGATGAACTTCCAATTTAACACTTAAATAACACTGCCTCAGATCTAACAAATCTCCTAACATGCAGATGGAGACAACTAATATCAGATGCTATTATATAAGCATTGTAAATAATATGTAGCTACAAAGTATCCATTCCTAATGCTATGTATAGGAGGCTAATAGATTCTGCCTGAGCAGGAAACAAAAAAAAAATCCCTTGCTGAATAGTGCTTAGATCCGGTTTCTATTCTCCATAAATAAAGTAAACACCCCAAACAGTGTTAAAATCAAAAGTGCTGTGAATTATAAAAAAGCCATAAGCCTAACGTGTTTCGGCGCTTAAAAGAGCGCCTTACTCAAAGGCTATCATTGATATTTAGGGCTATCATTGATAGCCTTTGAGAAAGGCGCTCTTTTTTTTACACACACTACTATTAGGGTTGCCAGGTATTTCTCATGTATTTCTTATGGTTGCCAGGTATTTCTCAGAAGTATTTATCAGGTATTTGAGGCTGTTATGATATTGTAGAATCAATGACATCAGCCATCTGCTCCCTGTATCCTAGACACCTACTCAGTGTGATATAAGAAAATCCAACTCCTGATAGAGACCTCACTCAATAAAGTCAGAGATTAGGACAATTGGATGACTTTATATTCTTTATCTATTTCTGCATATATCATCTATTTTTCTGAGTAGGTAGAGGTATAGCCAGTTGGCTTTGGATTTGCTATCTGACCATTAATATAAGTGGTGTGCAGCGTTCAATCAAAGAGCATACATTTCCTCATATTGTGTTCCTTTCCAGCTAACACTGACATTCAGAGTCTTTTAGCTCTGGAAATAGGTAGTTATTATTACGCTGTGATAGATTTAAGCAGATTTATTGGACATCGCAATGTTTCACCTGTAACCAGGTCTTTATCAAGTCTCCAGTGTGCCCTATGCATCACAGTGTCCGCTGTGTATGAGAGTGTCTCAGTGCCCCATGTCTCCCAGTATCCCTGGTGTGTTTCAGTGTCCTTAGTTTCTCAGTGTCCCCTAGTCTCCCAGTGTCCCCATGTCTCACAGTGCCCCCAAGTGTCTCAGTGTCCCCTAGTATAAAAGAAAAAAATCTCAGGCATTCACTGTGATAGATTTAAGCAGGTTTATTGGACACCGCAACATTTTGACCTGTACCCAGGTCTTTATCAAGTCTCCAGTGTCCCCTATATATCGGTGTCCCCTATGTATCACAGTGTCTCAGTGCCCCATGTCTCCCAGTGTCCTCTCATGTCTCAAAGTTACCCAGTGTCCCCATGTCTCCCAGTTTCCCCAAGAGTCTCAGTGTCCCCAGGTCTCTCAGTGTCCCAATGTCTCTCAATGTCCTCTAGTGTCCTAGTGACATAGGGACACTGGGAGACATGGGGACACAGACACTAAGGGACTGGGAGACATGGGGACACAGACATGCCCCCTTTTTGTGTATGTTCGCACCTTTCGGCAGTTCTGGTTATGTGATTTGTGTCAGTGGCCCACCTTTTTGCCCTGTCCATAGACTTCCTGCTTTACTGGACACTGCTGTTAGGGGGTATGGGTTTACTTGAAAGATGAAAGTGTGGGTATGTGTTTTCTCATAGCTGCATCCTATGAGTTTCCCTCCAGCACCATCTCCATCAGATACATGACGCTTAGGAGGTAGGACTATTTTGGTATTTTTGGTCAATAAAATTTTTGTAACTAGGCCTGTCATAATTGTCAGCACCAGGCCCACTGGGCTCTTAATCTGGCCCTGCCTTTACCATTTAATAAAAAGCTCCTGTTTCTGTGTGTCATTTTTGTTTCTCAAGCCATTCTTTAGCTCTTTCTTGGTTTTTGAGTACTAATCTGATGCCATCTTTATAGACAATCAGACTAGTAGGGAACCCCCAACTATATTTAATGCCTTTTATTAAACATTTTCCTAGCTGATCTTGTTGAATAGGAAATTCAAATTTTTCAGGTTTTTGCTTTAACTCTATAAAGGCCTTCATTAGAAGTGATTTAGATCTATACGATGAGAAGGCTATAATTACATCTCTAGGAAGAGATTCGGATACTGATGGTGGCTTATGTAATCTATGGAATCTAGAAACCATAGAGTCTCTTAGAGATCCTGCATTATCCACCAGCAAAGTTGTGCGCTTGGCCAATCTTACCACTGCTGCGTCCACTTTAGGGGCTGAGTCCCAGTGGCCTGCAGCTTTATTGTCAAACGGATAAAGACGTGAAATTCTCCCTTGATTGGAAAGCTTCTTTTCCGTTTTGTACCATTCCTCCATAATAATGCTCTTAATTGTCTCATGAACTGGGAAAGTAACTATTTTCCTTCTGAGGTCAGAAAAGTAGCGGCTGGAGGTAGAAGGTTCTTCTCTTGAAGGTTCCTTCATTCTCAGGGACATGCGGACCTTGGATATAAAATGATCCACATGGACCGGGTCCATGGATTCATCCGAAGAATCATACTGGAAGCAGTCAGGAGGATCTGGATACCTAGGCATTTTATGAGCTCTACCAGCTTCCTTGATGCCTCGAGATACCGCATGCTTAATGTACTGTATCATATCCGTGGAAGGCGCAGTGGGACCTGCTGCTGCTTGCAAACAGTCGGAACAGAGGCGCTTCCCTTCCAAGGCTCTTTCGTTACATGCCTCATGTAGGGTCCTTGTGGGAGATTTCCCTTTAGATAATCCAGATACCTTTTTCCCCTTAGAACTATTATAATAGGGAAAATATATTAGCAGGCTCTCTTTTGTTTAGAAAAAGGAATATATAAAATAGACAGGCTTACCTATGACGGTTAGATTGTGACCATTTACTCCGCACCGATGAGTCTGAATCAATGACTTCAGATAAATTCATCCTTAAAAGCAAGCCCAAAAAACAACATAAGGCTTAATTGAGGAATGAAAGAAAAAAAAGAAAGAGAAAGAACAAACCCAAAAAATAAATATATTTAAAAAAATAATGTGATTATGCCTTTAAAACTTACTTTACAGCATACACCACAAGAAATTCACAAACTGAATCAAATTGGAACAAAAAATACACTATACCGCTTTAAGACAGCATAAATCTAGTTAGAACAAAATCAGTTTTGGCGCTTTAAAAAGTCACCCAAACGTCATAAATGACGTCATTGTATTCCGACCAGGAGTGTGCATTGCGCATGCGTGATTCGGCACCCACGCGCATGCGCGAAACGAGCATGCCACGTACGCTCCATTTGTGCATGTGCAACTGCGTGAACCCGAATGCCGACCAAAATGGCGGCTGAAGAGGAGAGAAAAGTAAGCCAAGAAATGTAATGAAAAAGCTGTGAATTGAGCTAGAAAGCACCTGGATCACCAGGAAAACAATATTACTCTCCCCAAAGGGGAAAAGAAAATGGCAAACTCCACATCACTGTCCGTTGAAGGCAGGATAAACCAGGTAAATACAAAAACTGAAGATTTGAGGTAGAAGGCAGTATACTAATTGATGGTTGTGTCTGGCCCATACCTGCTACCCCTACGGTCACTGCAGTTAGTAGGGTAGTGGCTTCTTGTACTTGCTACCCCTAGGGTCACTGCAAGAATCCCCTGGTCACTAAGTGGTTCTCCAAGGGGACACCTTTGCGCAGGGCCATATACTGGATCTTCCCAAGGAAGAGAGGCTTAACTCCCTTGGGACCAAGGGTAAAAGAACCTTAGGTAAGCCGTAAAAAGTTCTTAGTCTAAGATATGACTAATCTGGCCTAGGGATAGGACTGGAACAAAAAGACCGAGGGTAGAAGGGATAGGAGGGGGTACTTATACTCTTATTTTAATTAGTTCGTGACTAATTAGGGATAGAGAGGAGCTGCCCATTGCTGTGCTGCCATGGATATCAATAAATATATGTAATATATCATATCCCTAGAGCAAAAACTCAAACTGCAATTTTATTTTAATCTGATTCAATCATTTTCATGTCACTGTGCCCTATCACGCATCCACTGTCACATTACAACAACCATGACAACTTGGACAAAATGAAATGTGTATATATCAAATCACAGCAAATGTAATTTCTCACACATCATGTATTGTTTGGCTCTGTTTACAGTTGATGTAAATTTTATATCACTGCATCAACCTGAACTGATGAAGATGATAAAAAAACTATCGACCTTGAATTGATTTCCTGTGTCTACTGACAGATTTCAGATTATTTAATCTGTCTGTTTGTCTGTCTATCTATCCATCTATCCTTCAGTCTATCTATCTATCTATCTATCTGCTTGTTTTTTTCTAGTCAGTTTTTTTAGATAATATTTTTTTTTTATTTGAATGGATTTTGAAGGATTTTAACAACTTGAAGGTCAATGATATTCTGAGATTCTGTACATACTCACACATACATATGCAATTGTGATATCTATATTGCTGATGGCATTTGGGCCTGTATTTTCTTCTATAGCCTCATCTATATCATCTCATTCTGGCAAGGCCGCTATCAAGGCGTGTAGTGCAGTCTCTGATATTTTGTGAGTAGCGATTCATAGTATTATGCTCAGGCGAAACCGATTCAATGTGCTTTGTACACTCGATTCTCTCAGTTTTGGCACATATCCGCCCTCCTGATTGCTTATATTAGTGGTAGTCAGATCTCTTGTCTTGGAGCTCACAAACTAAGCAGCTATTATGTTGCATGCTGGTCACTCCACTTTGTGTTTTTAATTTTAATGTTTTAATTTGTGAAATATAAACAAGAGAGATTGTACTTTGAAATCTAACTATTTAAGCAACCCCACTCTATGTTTTATAAGTCTTATCCTAGGTAATGTATACCGCAGGGAAGCTGATCTAGGCTAGAGCCCTGAGTACAGTAGCGGAACTAAGGAAGAGAGGGCCCTTGTGCTAGAAATTCTTTGGGGCCTCCTACCGCAAAGATGGGAAAAAGGTAGATCCCCATTTGTCATACAACCCCCACAATGCTTTGCCAGCTGGAGTTCTACCATTTGCCCATCCTTGCAGGGTTGTATTTAGCACTGAGCATTGTGTGCATGTTTGAATGTAAGCATGTTTTTGTATGGAGCATGTGTGTGTGAATGTAGGGGTGTCTTTGTGTGTAGTGTTGTGTGAGTTTATGTACTGTTGCCATTTGAAAGCAGTAGTTTACTTGTGTGTAGTGTTTGCCTTTGGAATGTAGGTTTGTGTCTGTATGTATTGTTGATGTTTGAATGCTAATAAGTATGCATATATACATATACACTGCCACACACACTGATACACATACATACACACACATACACACACACATGCAGAGTAACACACTAACACACATCCAGATATACAGACACACACACAGACTCACATGCAGATACACACAGACACGCACGCACACACACAAATATATATATATATATATATATATATA